TTTGGTTTTTCGTGTTTGTTACAATAGATAAATGTTTGGGTTTTCATATCCCATCGACTTCTTTTACCTTTCTGTGTAATTCTCTATCTTTATGCTTCCTTTGCAGATCTTCTACCTCTTTAGATTTTTCTTTCATCCACTCTTCCTTAGCTACATTTATCTTTCTCTCAATTTCCCTGTTAAGCTCTTTGTATCTTGTTAGGTTTTTGTTTTTTAACATCCGTCTCCTCTCCATAATTTAAAATATTTCGTTTGTCATCCATGGTTTTCTTTGTTTACGGTTTTCTTTCTGTATATTTTGGTTTGCTGCCTCCAGGACAGTATTTTTAATTTTTCCCCACATATCTTCAATGTTTTCTTTTATTGTCTTCTCTTTAGTGGGAGCTAATGTCTTAGACTCTAACTGCGTGTCTACCATGTCTTTATACATATGTTTTTGTCCCTGGTCAGCACTACTCCATGCTACTCTCTGACTGGGTTTAGCCTTGCCTACTCTTTTAAGTTTTATTCTGACAGTTGCAACTACAGGATTGTGGTCTGAATTTATGTCACAGCTTGGGTACGTTTTTAGATTTATAATACCATTACGGAACCTTTTATTAATTGTAATGTAGTCGATTTGGTTCCTCACAATATTTCCTTCGCAATCTTGAGGAGACCTCCACGTCTCCTCAGACGTGGAGGTCTAAGGAGACGTGGGTCTCTGAGAAGACGTCTGTATATAGACGTGCGTCTATATACAGATGTCTTTTTGGTAATTTAAACCATGTGTTAAGAATCACCAAGTTGTTCTCTTGGCAAAATTCAACAAAGCGTATGCCTCGTTCATTCCTCGTTCCTAAACCTTATTACTGCCTTTCATCACTTGTTCTATCTGAACTTCCAGCTCCACGTTTAATTTTCTGGCGGGAATATTAAACTCGTGGAGCATACGTTGTAAATTACCTTCACTCTGAGAGAGTAGTATTGCGTCGACTGCAGATTATTTTAAGCTATCTTTCTCCCATTTGGTATCCTTTTTTAGTTTTGGCTTTTTTGTATTATTTTACCCATAACCAGGTTGAACAATGGAGGACTCAGGAAATCTCCCTGTCTTATCCCATTGACAGCTTCAATAGGGTCAGTCTTCTTCTACCTTTACTTTTATTGTGTTGTTTTAGTAGCTACTTTCGATTGTTTTGATTATTTCTTGCGTACAATAAGTCGATAACATCTTTTAAAGTGACCCGATCAAATGCTCTGCTAGTGTTATCATTTTAATCAATTTATTTTTATTACTTCGGTTGTTAATGTGTTGTGTTCAATCAATTAATTTTTCTGTAAGTTTTCGAGTCCGATTTGTCTCCCTTTTTGAAAAGAGGTATTAAGATGCTTTATCTCCATTGTTGAGGAATTCTGTTTTGTTCTATTATTTTTTGAATTAGTTTTAATAGTTGTTTGGTCTTTGGTTTTTTTTGGGTTTTATATAAATATTAATATAATAAAGAATTTTTTTATTTTAGTATACAGAGATTAGTAGAAGGAGGTATTGTGGAATTCAAATTGCGAGAAAACCTCCCAGATGCAGAAATATGCCCCCTAAATTTAGGCAGTACTGAAAGAAAACTCAGAAATACCGATCTCCTTCTCACCTACTATATAGTATGTGGAGGATTGGCTGTCGCTACATGCGTGTTTTTGATGGAGATATTATGGAGGAAGTGGGTGAAGCAATATAAATTAAGAAAACAACACGTTCACACGCCAAACTGGTTTGAGGTACATAATAATATGAAAAAACCGAAGAACTTTTTCTCAGAAAATATCACTCCACCACCTTCTTATCAAACGTTGTTCAAGCCTCCGTTTTCGTTCGTAGAAGAGGGAGGCTACAAGAAGCAAATTAATGGACGAGATTATTGGATTGTTGATAAAAAAAATGGCTTCAGGCAAATGATACCACTGCGCACACCGTCTGCTTTGCTTTTTCAGTTTTCGAATTAATGCACTTTTGTGAATGATTAAAAAATAAACTATTTTGATGTATTCTTGTTGTTTTTTGTCTCTACTTCCTGACAAGATATTACTATTAGTTACGTTGTGAAACTTAAAAACATCAGTTGAAAATTATATATTATTTTATAAAGGACTAGACCATATTTTTTTTATTTACATAAAGTATCTTGACAACTACGGCCATTGGTACAGGAATACTTATATTAGATATATATTCAATAAAAAAATAGTTATATTACCATGGCTAATAGTTATTAGGTTAAATCTTGTGGTAGAGCTGAGAGTTTTAGAAACTGTATAGTTTTCGTGATCTATGTAGGGTTGTTGAGCATTTTTTTAAAAATATGTTTACATAAAATAGGTAAAATGTAATTTTGACGTTTTGATTTTCCATGTGCAAATGGCTTTAGAAAATTTAAAAATAAAATTATGATTGATCTTAACCTCTAACTGTTTATAATTGATTCGCCTTTTTAATCTGTTTCAAAGCTTGCATGTTTATTTTTTTATTCGATAAGGGAGAAGTTTGACTTGTTAAAAGGTTTTTTATTTTTACTGCAATATTCTTATTCTTCTGTTTCCCCTTTATAGCAATTCTGCTTGAAGGTTGGTGACTTATCTCTTGTTATTTTGACGATACGAGTCTCCTCATTTCTGCTTATGTAATTATTCCATTCTTTTTTTCTATTTTGTATCCATTCATTTATACAGTGTACGTTACATTTTCTTCTAAAGTCTTCACTTCTTTTTTGATCTCTCAGCGTCTTTCCTGTAATTCTTCTCAGTACTCTCATCTCTGCCGTCTCCAGTAGCCTTTTCGTTGTGGTTGGGTGAAGTCTTGTTTCTGAGGCATATGTCATTATTGGTTTTACACTGGCTTTATTAATTCTTGACTTCATCTTTGTGTTGATGTGTCTGTTACGCCATATAGAGGTATTAAGGCATCCTGGCAGTCTATTTGCTCTTTGTACTTGATCTCTCACTTCTTTGTCTAGGTCTCCATAGCTGGAAATTTTTTTTAATTTCCAAGTGTTTTACTTCCATTATTTGTTTAATACTAATGCCATCAATTTCTATTTTACATCCGGTGGGTTTTTTGGCTGACTACTATTTTTTTTATTTTCTGAGATGAGATTATCATATAAAATTTTTTTGCTCTTATGTTAAATCTGTGTACCAGTCTTTATTAGACTATCTTCTTCTTGGGCTCTCAATATTGCGTCGTCTTCGTAACAGAGTATTTTTAATTCTCTGTTTTCTAGTCTGTATCCTCTTCCTTTGTTAAAGCTTTTGGTACTTTCATCCATGAATAAATTGATGATGAGGCTTAATGAGTTCCCTTGTGTTATTTTGCTGCCCATTTCTATAGGTTCTGTAAGTTGTCTATCTATTCTGCCTTATATTTTGTTGAAATGAGGTTGAATGCTCGAATAAATGAACTTTGAAAAATAAGGCTATTATCGAGCACAAGTTAATTAAATCTAGCCCAAGTACTTTCGCTTAAAATAGCATCTTCAAGGGCATTTCGTCAAAATATAAACTATCCGGCAAGCGTAGGATGTGGAAACATTAATAATAACATAAAATTGTACAAAACACTACACTAAAACGAGGACAAACAGTTTAAAATTACTTTAAAGATTCTACGCTACATTCTTTGTCAGTATCTGGAGGGATCTCTCCATCCCTGATGGAATATTTTGCTTTTAAAACCATACGTTTAATTAATAGTACTGCATTAATTACATATTTATATAACTAAAAAAACAAAAAGAGAATTTCAACGATTTCTATTCTAACCTTAACCAATGTACCTTTCTAAAACTTGCAAAGCAAACAGCTTGATAAATAACTCGGCAAGAGAATCTAAGCTTGCACTCCACATGCCGTTTATCATGGTCCAGATTCGTAATGAATTAAATTTCTGGTACTCCATACGGAGTAAAGAAATAAAATATAAAGACGGTAAAAGATTTTTGTTTCAATACAGAGCGGCGGCAAGCCGCTTAGACGTATTTGTATGGAAGAGAAAGTTTAGGTACTATTTCATCCAGTGGAAGTGGGTGTAAGGTTAAAAAGATTCAAATCAAAATTCTACGGGTATAACCTAGCAAGAGATCAAAACTAAGACAATTTTGAAAATAAATTGCTAAATGAAGACATTACTGAACTTTTACACTTAATTTTTTTTTCATTTCAACTGAAGTTAAAGATGTATAAGCTAACCTTATATAATATTTTAGTTTTATGGAAAAACTTGGGAAGAATCATTAAACATTACATACATGTCATATTCTTTTATTCGTAATTAAATTTTTCTTTATATAATTTAATTTATTCCTGCCACCACAAATTGTTTAATCAAAAACATTATTATAATTTTTTTGACAATTCAGTAAATAGTGGTGTGTTCTGAAATAAATTTTATATTTAACTTCCAGATAAGTAACCGCAACATAATTTGACGTGAAAAGACGGGTATATTTTATTTTATAAATAAATGTCTATCCTTTAGATAACTATCTGTCAAATAAGATAAAATAGGATATTTTTCTGAAGTTAAAAAGACCAGCCTTTTCATGAAAGTAGTTTATTATTTTTAAAATTTAATTTTTAATTATTTTGAAAATATTGTTGAATCTAAAAAAATGGCTGCGGATCGGTAAAAAATATAATACAAAGCTAGAGCTTTCCCAAAAAATTAATTGTTGAACTAGAATTACTTTATTCAGCGACTCTTCAAACGTGACTTATTTGTTATAAAAGTTAAACAGATTAAAATATAATTCTGTTGTTATCATAGCCTTAAATAGGCAGAATACAGAAAAAGTTAAGTAGAGTGGTTGTAGATGCAATTGATTGGATCCCCTGTCGCATGATGAGGGGCAAAATTATTTGTATAGTATAATACCGAACGTAAACAGACCACTAGACACATACTGCTCTTATCTAAAGTATAAACGTTTAAATAGGTCGTAAGTTTGTAATATAAAAAAAATTTAAGTATGTATTAAATATAATCTTTTATTATATTGCTAATACAGCAATAATCATTGTTACCATTGGGTACAAAACAATGCTTCCATAAATGGTAGTTGCCGAGTTCTGAGGTGGCTCAACTGGTCTGTATTTATTCAGAGTGGCAATCAGATCATCATTGAGAATTGTGTGCACATCTTTTGCCCAAAGGTAATCCAGATGATTAAACCGTCTATCTTTGACTAATTGTAACTTCACAACGTTGGGTAACTGCTTGGCCAACCTTTCAACATCCTAGAATAAAATAACATGTTAACCACACGGTAGAATGATTATATATATATATATATATATATATATATATATAAATATATATATATATATATATATATATATATATATATATATATATATAATTCCCCGATACAATCTCCCCGACTATCTAGACAGCAACTATGAAGGAAGAAGCCGCCGAATTATTATTATTATTAGGTATTATCTAGTTTGTAGCAAATGTCTCTATAATGTCTACTTTAATTTTGAAAATTAAATATTTTATTAAATATTTTAAATATTTTAACTTCACAACGTTCGGTAACTGCTTGGCCAACCTTTCAATATCATAGAAATATATATATATATATTATATATATATATATATATATATATATATATATATATATATATATATATATATATATATATATCGGAAAAAGGAGTACGACCGTCAATCCAATATATATATAAGGATCACTCAGACGAGTGGTGGGTTCTTATATCGGTCTCTAGGTGGAGAAATAAAAGACAAAGTTGATAGGCTACTTTATCTATTTTGAAGACGTTTCGCTTTCGAGTTTTGAAAGCATCATCATTCATCTAAAAAATTATTACAATATGAGAACCACACAATCATGGAAACGATGTTAATTGTTACCTTAAAAAGATATGTAGCAGTCAATGTTATTAACAAATATGTGAATGAAACTAAGTAAATGGACATAGTACGCTGATCTTGTATAAACAGTTAAGCAACTAACAACATATATGAACTTGTACAAAAATTAGCACAGCAATTGACCATGTGGTCCAAAATAAATTCAATGTTATTTATATTAATAAGTGAGAAAGAACCAAGAAAATCATAAATAACCTCCAACTATTTAATGGATATTAAACTTTGATTTTAACTTTAGGTAGCATTATAAGTAATATTAATAAAATTCTACAAAATAGTGAATATGAAGTTACCGATCAAAGCCTTGTGGATGTCGCCGTGAAAATGGCGTTAGATGAAACAGGAACGAACTAACCGCAAAAAGACAGCCAACCTTGAGGTCAAAATTACTTTTGACAGATCAACAAGGTGTAAATACCAACCCAGAATTTTTGGGCGGTTAATTTAATTTTTATATTTTATAACTGAGTCTGGATGACCTCCAGGTTGTAAAGGACAACAACAGTGAAAAAAGTTGGTAGTGTACACACAACTCCCCCCACTAACCGGCCCAAATTTACAAACCGGAGATTTGCATTCAAACTCATAATAATGTGATGACGTTAATCATGTGGCAAGTTAAATAGTCAGGTGATTAACGATATTATAATCTCCATACAGCCCAAGGTTCACTATACTTGGAGCTGTGATTTGTAAAGGATTCTATGAATCAATTACAATGTTTGTATTATTTTATATATAATTTAAAACTCTAATCAAAGAATTTAGTATAATGAAATGCAATATGGGTTGCATATGTAATAGTAAAATTAAGTAAAGAAATTAAGTTATTTAATTGATATATTTATTTATTTTATTTCTATTTATGTATGTAAATTATTTTATGAAAAGTGGAAAAAAGTTCAACTAGTACACCTAATATGACATTAATGTAGTGAAAAGATTAAGTAGCCTAATTCTGCAATATTAAAGCATGATATATCTGGCTCAAGTTACTTATGTCAGTTCTCTTATTCAATGCATTAGGATGTTTTAATATTGAACACATTTCCAAAAACTGTCTTTTCGCTAGATTGCGTTCAGTGGCAAGAATCTTAACTTCATTAAAATCCACTTCATGTTTTGTATTTATCGCATGTTGTGCTAGAGCACAAGTGTGTTTCGATAAGTTAATGTCGCTACGATGTGAAGTGAGACGACCTTTCAATGATCTACCAGATTGCCCAATGTAACAAAGATCGCAATTAGCGCATGGAATTTTATAAATTGTGTTCACTTGTTCCAAAGTGGACAAGGGTGTTTTAGTTTTAGAGAACAAATTTCTAACAGTTTTTGCATTCTTAACAGCAATTTTAACAGGTATATTATTTTGTTTATACAATTTAATAAGCTTCTCAGTAACTTGAGGGAAATATGGTAAGGAAGAGTAATGCGTGATAGTATTCTCAAGATCGGTATTATGCAGAACAGTGCTATTTATAGAATTATTAGAGATGTTTGACCAACTTATAAACATCTCTAATAATTCTATAAATAGCACTGTTCTGCATAATACCGATCTTGAGAATACTATCACGCATTACTCTTCCTTACCATATTTCCCTCAAGTTACTGAGAAGCTTATTAAATTGTATAAACAAAATAATATACCTGTTAAAATTGCTGTTAAGAATGCAAAAACTGTTAGAAATTTGTTCTCTAAAACTAAAACACCCTTGTCCACTTTGGAACAAGTGAACACAATTTATAAAATTCCATGCGCTAATTGCGATCTTTGTTACATTGGGCAATCTGGTAGATCATTGAAAGGTCGTCTCACTTCACATCGTAGCGACATTAACTTATCGAAACACACTTGTGCTCTAGCACAACATGCGATAAATACAAAACATGAAGTGGATTTTAATGAAGTTAAGATTCTTGCCACTGAACGCAATCTAGCGAAAAGACAGTTTTTGGAAATGTGTTCAATATTAAAACATCCTAATGCATTGAATAAGAGAACTGACATAAGTAACTTGAGCCAGATATATCATGCTTTAATATTGCAGAATTAGGCTACTTAATCTTTTCACTACATTAATGTCATATTAGGTGTACTAGTTGAACTTTTTTCCACTTTTCATAAAATAATTTACATACATAAATAGAAATAAAATAAATAAATATATCAATTAAATAACTTAATTTCTTTACTTAATTTTACTATTACATATGCAACCCATATTGCATTTCATTATACTAAATTCTTTGATTAGAGTTTTAAATTATATATAAAATAATACAAACATTGTAATTGATTCATAGAATCCTTTACAAATCACAGCTCCAAGTATAGTGAACCTTGGGCTGTATGGAGATTATAATATCGTTAATCACCTGACTATTTAACTTGCCACATGATTAACGTCATCACATTATTATGAGTTTGAATGCAAATCTCCGGTTTGTAAATTTGGGCCGGTTAGTGGGGGGAGTTGTGTGTACACTACCAACTTTTTTCACTGTTGTTGTCCTTTACAACCTGGAGGTCATCCAGACTCAGTTATAAAATATAAAAATTAAATTAACCGCCCAAAAATTCTGGGTTGGTATTTACACCTTGTTGATCTGTCAAAAGTAATTTTGACCTCAAGGTTGGCTGTCTTTTTGCGGTTAGTTCGTTCCTGTTTCATCTAACGCCATTTTCACGGCGACATCCACAAGGCTTTGATCGGTAACTTCATATTCACTATTTTGTAGAATTTTATTAATATTACTTATAATGCTACCTAAAGTTAAAATCAAAGTTTAATATCCATTAAATAGTTGGAGGTTATTTATGATTTTCTTGGTTCTTTCTCACTTATTAATATAAATAACATTGAATTTATTTTGGACCACATGGTCAATTGCTGTGCTAATTTTTGTACAAGTTCATATATGTTGTTAGTTGCTTAACTGTTTATACAAGATCAGCGTACTATGTCCATTTACTTAGTTTCATTCACATATTTGTTAATAACATTGACTGCTACATATCTTTTTAAGGTAACAATTAACATCGTTTCCATGATTGTGTGGTTCTCATATTGTAATAATTTTTTAGATGAACTGATGATGCTTTCAAAACTCGAAAGCGAAACGTCTTCAAAATAGATAAAGTAGCCTATCAACTTTGTCTTTTATTTCTCCACCTAGAGACCGATATAAGAACCCACCACTCGTCTGAGTGATCCTTATATATATATATATATATATATATATATATATATATATATATATATATATATATATATATATATATATATATATATATATATATATATATATATATATATAATATAAAAGTAATGTTTCTTGGGTTTAGGTTAATTTTATATTAAATATAATACGGTTCAAGAAACTCAAAACTACTATATATATATATATATATATATATATATATATATATATATATATATATATATATATATATATATACCACAATAAATAATATGGTAAGTATTTTTGTAAATATAAAAATATTTTAAATATTTTTTATAACATGCATATTTTCTAGATAAATATGCATATTTTGCATAAAATACTGCATATTCGTTCATAAAATACCTGCATATTTATGCGCATATTTCATACTTTTTTATTTTCATATTTACCTAAGTCTACTTATTTAATATTCATATAATCTATTAAAATTAATGATGAATATATTTTTACCTTAACGGCTACCATATAGTCATTTTTAGAGTAATAAAGTGCAATCGGTGCAGTAATGGCCGACAGATTGTAGTCCGGTGGGACTGACGAATTATACTTTTCCAAATTACCTAGTAATTTATAATCGTATCTTCGGAATTTACCTAAAAACATATTTTTACTAGTTTTAATCTATACTTTTATTAGAATAAGTAATCTTCTGCGATTATATATGGAATATTTAAGGTTCATCTTGTTTAAGAAAAATATTTTACCTGACACAATTTCTTGTCCATAGTGTATGGCCATTTTTGAAGATATTCCGGCTGGTGCATTTGACAATATTATTGGTACAAATGTCTGAAAATAAGAATATTTATATATTCACTATATATATATATATATATATATATATATATATATATATATATATATATATATATATATATATATATATATATATATATATATATATATATATATATATATATATAGTGATTTTAATTTTATTTAAAATTTAGACGAAAATTTTTCGCATATGCAACAAATTTTCCCGCGTGAACACTTAATTTCAAACTAATGAGATTACCCAAATTCCTTAAATCAAAAATTTTATTTCTACTTAAAAAAACCTTTTCGTTTTCTATTCATGATATTTGTATACCGATATTATATTATTATATACATGACAATATCGTGAATATTGAAAATTCCTCTGATTCTTTCAGAGTCCATATGTCTCAGGACATAACTATTTACACCGTTTTCATTATTTACGATATATGGACCCTGAAAGACCGGCATTAGCTTAGCACAAACATTGTTGGTGATGTTGGATACTCTCAGAGCTCTCACCAGCACCTTTTCGCCAACCTGAAAAGTGACAGGTCATCTTTTCCTGTTACGGTCCTTTCTTTGGACTTATTTTTCATTAGTTCTTTGCAGTCTTCTCCGCACCAATTCCAAAACTTGTTAATATTTTTTTTTTAATTAAAACGTGGCTTCAAAGTATCTTCTGCTAGTTCCATTTAAGAAAGATCAACAAAAGGAAAAAGAAATAATAGACAGTCAATTCTGATAATCTTCTGATTCTTAATTTAAAATTCCGTTGAGGATAAATCTTACACCATACACTATAAATAGAATAAAAAAAATAATCAATCATCCATCAAATCACACATCCCTTAATGCTCAATAAAAATTAAATACATATATTTCTAAATCAAATATCTCTTAATATAAAAATTTAAAAAAGAAATATTGGTTTCTTGACTTCTTGCCTTAACTATAAAAATATTGCAAATTACAAACAATTGACATGCATGTTTATAGATGGTCGTGATAGAATGTCTTTATAGATTTATTGAAAAACTCAAAACTTTGGTTTTCAAACAGACTATCGTCCCTTGATTCTGCTTGGATTGTGCCCTGACCAGATCGCAATGTACTTCCCGGATCCTACCAATTTCTCTGCTCGCTATTCCGCCTACTATTTCTTTTGACAATAAAAGAAAAAGACAAACAGTATGTAAAAATGTCGTGATGTCTTTACCACAAGCTCCAAACTCCAAGACAAACAAACTGCTTCCTCTCAGACACAACGAAAATATATCTGTTTATACTTACAGTAATGCCTCTATTTCTACTGGAACTTGTCTGTCTCCGGAGGCGTGTCAGGCAGAACCTCACCGCCGTGCCGGACGCATTTAGAAATTCGGAGAAATACTTGGAAATTCCAAGTGTGGGCAAATCCGAATTTCTAATTGACTCGATGTAGGGAAATTCCCCTTTTACTACGTAAAACAAAGGATTTGTTTTATATAAAAGCAGACGGAATTTCTCTCATCGGTCAGTCGAGCTTGCCTCTTCTTCTGTAGACCTAGTCGGTGCTATTATTGTTCCGACTAAGCTATTGTTTTATTTCTTATTTTCTGATAACCATTTATATTTTATTATTGTATATTCAGACCTTTTCAGGTTAGAATATTACTTTGACTTATATTTGTTCATATACTGATTATTTGCTATTTTATTTGATTATTTTGATTGTTTATTTTTCTTGTATTTTGTATCTAAGTTGTTCTTCCGTAAGTTAAGAACACTTAGAAATATTTACCTTACTTTTTTCTATTTTATAAATTTGATTTTGTACTTTGTGTCTAAGTAGTTCTTTTCGGTAAGTCAAAGAACTCTTAGAAATATTTCTCTGATATTTGACTTGTTAATTTTATTGTGTGCTTAAGTCATTCTTTTCCGGTAAGTCAAAAGAACACTTAGAAATATTTTCATAATCATTATTGCATTATTATTTCCGATATTTATCTAAGATATTTTCTTAATATATTTGTCTCTTTTATTTTACCATTTCATGCTGAGTTGTTTCTTCCGCAAGTCAAGAAACACTTAGCAATATTTCCATATCTTTTCTGTATCTGATTTTCTTATTTTCTATTATAAGTTGTTTCTTCCGTAAGTCAAGAAACACTTACAAATATTTGTATTCTTATTTTACTACATTTGATTCTCTTGTTTGTTTTCTGTTTTAAGAAACACTTAGAAATATTTCCATATATTGTTTCATATTTACATATTTCATTTTTCTATATTTCTGTCCTAAGTTGTTTCTTCCGAAAGTCAAGAAACACTTAGGAACATTTCTCTTGCATTATAATTTTTATACCATTTGGTTTACTTGTTTTACCAAGTTATTCCTTCCGTAAATCAAGGAATACTTAGATTATTTTTTACCTGTTCTGTTTTCTATTTTGATCTGCTATTTTGTAACTGTTCCTTGGAACTGTTACCTATAACAGATACTTGTCACGGTAACTGTTATTTTATACCAGTAGCAGTAATAACACGTTTTACCAGCGACAAGCAAAGATGGTCAACACCCGATCAAATTCCGGGACAGGAAGAAGTCCGAAGAGCCGGCGATGGGTCCCACAGGCCCAAATGCCCCCTCTCGGCAACAGTCTCTGCTTACCACAGTATCTGCTTAATTTTCCACACAAAGACTAATCACTACTTCTTATAAATTCTCAAAAAGAAATGTTTTCACCGGAACCGGTCTCCCTCGATGTTCAACTCACAATGTCCTCTTTTCCCTCATTTCATTCCCAGCAAGCTTTTCACCCCCTTCTTCTTTATCCATCTCAAACCAATCCAAACAAACCTCCCCTTCATCCTTGAGATGGTTTCTGATATTTTCCTTACATGCTTCGAAATTTTCAACATACTGTAGATTTTTCTTTCGATTTTTGATGAAAAGAACCTAATGAATTTTTCTTATATCCTCACCAAATTGGATTTTTGCATCGCCTGTACTTTGGATAAGTATTTCTCTTCTTTCTCCGAACTTTTGTTGATTCTTGATTTCCGCAAATTGTTTTTCGTTTTTCTTAATTTTTTCGTCTATTTCTCGCTTGTCATTTTGTAACGCATTTTCAAATTTGATTTCCAAGTTCTCTAGCTCGTTTTTATAATCGTCTTTATCTTCTTGATTTTATTTTGAATTTTTGTTTCTTGTTCTTTCATTTGATCTTTAATTCTCATTTCTTGCTGTCCCATCTCGTTCTTCATCATTGTCAAACATCCATTTATTTCCTTTTCATAGTTTTCCATGCGTTTCTCCATTTTTTTGTTGTTCTTCTCTATGGCTTGTTTTGTTTCCTGTTGATTTTTATTTATTGTTTGCTTCGTTTCTTCCATTGATTGTTTCATTAATTGTTGTGATTTCTCTATTTTGTTTGAGGTTTCTTGTTGATTTCTATCGATTTTTTGTGGTTGTATTTGCATCAGTTGTAATATTTTCTCTAGTCCTGATAATTCCTGACTTTCTCTCTTCATAATTGTTATTTCGAGAATGTCTTGTTCTAAATGTTCTTCTTGTTCTGAATGTTTTTCTTGTTTTTTGTTTTCTTTATTTTTGCTTCTCGTTGCACATTTGTTTATCTCGAAGAAATATTATCCCTGCCAAATGCCAACTTTAAATTTCCTCGATTTGTTGCAAATACGGCACCCAAATATAAATATTCACCCAAACGTCAATAAAAAAAATTAAATAAATTGTTAGAAAATGTAAATTTAGATAAAAATTTTAAATGCCATAAAAATTGTACCAAATTATTATTCACTTGTCCAAAAAAAACTATAACCACCTGTTGTTTTTATTTTTCAAATTGTATCTCTTTCCAAATGTAACTAGTAATACTTTTTTATCAGCCCTCACGTTCTGGCGCCAGTTGTTGTGATTTTAATTTTATTTAAAATTTGGGGATCTTATTAATATATATATATATATATATATATATATATATATATATATATATATATATATATATATATATGTATACACTACTACACTGTTCACTGATCACTACGCTATTACTACTGATAGCGTAGTACTACCACTAGTGATAGCGTAGTGATCAGTGAACAGTGTAGTAGTGTCTGGGGGCTTGGGAGGCTGAGACCTCGGAAGCCCTGAGGTAGGCATCAGAGAAGCTCGGTAAAATGGATATCGACGCGGTTCAACCCGGAAGACTGGTGAGTTTGATATTAATTTTAGTAATAATATTAATCTTAGCTCTAGGTTATATATATATATATATATATATATATATATATATATATATATATATATATATATATATATATATAATATATATATATATATATATATAATATATATATATATATATATACCAGGTGGTGAATCGCGAAACGAGCCATAGGAAACGAAATGGGAAATTCCAAATAGTGGAATTCCTGCTTCCCTAATTATTTTAAATCAAAAGTTAGAAGAAACTTTTTATAGAGGAGTGAAATCTGCATTAAAAACAAGTGGTAAAATTGTTCTAAAAATTAAGCGTACTCCAAAATTTTGCAAAAATATATTATTATATTTTAGGCCACCCCTTAAAGTCAGGCTTCAGGTGGTACAAAAATGTGTATGACATGTTGCGTTTGGTCATATTGATGTTTCTGATATTTGACAATATTTGAATTTTGAATTGTCAATATTTTTAATTTAGGATTAAACTATAAACAAGAAATTCGAATAGTACTACTACTAGTTAAGAATAAATAGTATTTTGTAAGCAATAAATTATATTGTTTTTAAACCAATAAAGTTGATGAAATGTACTAAGTTCACAAAAAATCGCTATAATGTTCCTAAATCGCTATAAGATACATTCCAATTCAATTTCAGGTTACACAACAATTCAAAAAATTTTAATATAGTTTTATTGTGCTCCTTCCTAAAAATAATTTGTGATTATTTCTAAACATAAAACTATAACAAATGCTCAAACAATAAGCCATTTTGTACTAAGCAGTATTCCAATCGATTGTAATATTCTCGTCTAACATTAGCCAGAACACGTGGCGTTATTTTTGCAGACTCTTCAATATTTCGCATTTTTAATTTTAATGCTTCTAGGATATCTGTCTGTACAGTTTGTACAGGTAAAATTAGAAATAACGGTCCCAGTATTTTCAAAATTTTGTAAAGTCCTTTTAAACGTTGAATGACTTAGAATTAGTTTATTGGGATATCTTACGCTAAATAAAGAACTGACAATTCGCGCACTATTGCCTGAATGAGACATTTTTATTATTGCTACTTTCTCCTCAACTGAATACATTTTAATCAACTATATTGTTTTTTAAACAACAAATCACAAAATAAAAATTTTTGCACTTCAAATATTGTCAAATATCAGAAACATCTATATGACCAAACGCAACATGTCATACACACTCTTGCACAGCGTGGCCTGACTTTAAGGGGTGGCCTGAAAAATGTATTATATTCTTGCAAAATTTTGTAATACGTTTAATTCGTAGAACAATTTTAACATTTGTTTTCGATACATATATCAGTCATCTACAAATATTTTTTCTTGACTTTTGGTGTAAAATATTTAGGAAAGCAGGAATTCAACAATTTATAATTTTTCACTGGGTTTCCTATGGCCTATTTGACGACTTAGTAAATATAGTATATGTAGTAAATGCTAGTGAGGAAAGCAGAGTAACGCTTAATGCTAATAAAACAAAATTTATGACAATTTATGACAAAAAAATACAGATATCTTGGTACAATTATTAATGAAAATAACGAGTATACAGAAGAAATAAAAATGAGAACTGGACAAGCTAGAGCAACATTTAATAAGATGAGAAGAGTATTATGCAGTAGAGACCTTAGTTTACAACTCAAAATAAGAATATTACGTTCTTATGTGTTTTCGGTGCTGCTGTATGGGGTGGAGGCCTGGACCTTAAAGAAAGAGGTGAGCGATCGACTTGAAGCATTCGAGATGTGGACCTACCGAAGAATATTAAAAATAAGTTGGGTAGACCGAATAACAAATGTTGCGGTCCTCAGAAAGGTGACAAAGGAAATGGAAATCATGAATACGATTAAGATAAGAAAGTTACAGTATCTCGACCACGTTATGAGAGGGGATAAGTGTGTGTTGCTACAAACTATAATGCATGGAAAAATACAGGGAAAACGAAGTATTGGAAAAAGACGCATCTCCTGGCTCAACAATCTGAGAAAGTGGTATAATTGCAGTTCCGTCGACTAAATCTCAAAAGTGAAAATAGCTGTGATGATTACCAACCTCCTTAGAGGAGATGGTACCTAAAGAAGAAGATTGTTTCTTTTTTGGGAGGTCTAACTACCGGGGTTGTATGACGTTTGGGAATATTGTTATTCTTATGAACTGAACCAGAATTAAACTGACGAGTAGAATCAAATTTTAGTGAGGAAAATTCCGTGTCAGAGTTGATTAACGATGCAAGTCTATTCTTTTGAACTAGGCTCGAATAACCTGGATTATCAGATATTTTCTGAGCTTCCTTAAATGAAATGTTTAAGTTAGCCATAGTTTCTTTCATTTTCCTATGCTTAAGATATTCGGGACTTTACGTATCTTGGAAGTGTCATAACAGAAAGCGGAGGTACAGAAGACGATATTCGTATGAGGATACGAAAAGCGCAACAAGCTTTCAGCATGCTCAACCCTGTTTAGAGGTCTGGAGACTACACTACGAGGACAAAGATCCGCATATTCCAGTCAAATGTCATGTCTGTATTACTTTACGGATGTGAAACCTGGAAAGCGACAAAAACCCTTACAGACAAACTGCAGGTCTTTGTTAATAAATGTCTACGAAGAATTGTTCGTATTTTCTGGCCTAACATCATCAGAAACGAAGATTTACTACACCTGACCAAACAAAAGAGGGTAGTAAATGAAATAAAGTCCAGTAAGTGGGGCTGGATCGGTCACACACTCCGAAAAAATAACTCCAGTATTGCAAAGACTGCCCTAGAGTGGAATCCCCAAGGAAAACGAAAAAAAGGTCGCCCAGTACAAACTTGGAGAAGATCCATCATGGACGAGATAAGAAAACAAGGAAAGTCTTGGAATGAGGTGAAGGCCTTAGCGCAAAATAGAACCCGATGGCGCGTTTTCACTGAAGCTCTATGCTCCATTTAGAAGTTCAAGAACCTTATATATATATATATATATATATATATATATATATATATATATATATATATATAAGATATTCGGGACATTCTGTGAAAATTGATTCGTGACCAATATTTTGACAATACACGCAAACAGTATTACATTTTTCAGGACAATGTTTATTAACTTTATTTCCACATTTTTTGCACCTTTTTTTTATTTACATTGAGTAGTATGACCATAACGCAAACACTGGTAACATTGTATGACTGACAAATATCTCGACCGGGCATCTAACTTTATTAATGTAGATGAATTGAGGAATTAATTTGCCCGCAAAAGTAACAATAATCATGTGTCTTGGGACTCTCTCCGATAAACCTTATTTTTGTATTAATCTAGTCATTCTTTGGACTTTTTTAACAATTACATTCGATTTTATAATATTTAGAAGTTCATTTTCACTTATAGTAATGTCAACAGTGCGAACTAATCCTCTTTTATTCTGTGAAATAATTAAGTATAAATGCAATTAAATTATTTTTTTCAAAAAAAGATTCTTCTACCAGCCTATTTGTAACCAGTCCCGAATCTACTTCGATTTTAATTCTATTCCTGCCAAACATAAAAATTTCAGTTATATTTTTATCGTAATCCGCGAGAGAACTTAATTTTTCTCCTATTTGCATAGGATGAAGACGACCTAAATTTAAATCAGTATGTTGAACAAAAATAAAATACGGCCCTGTATCAGTATCGCTAAATCGATTTAAAGTATTTAAAACCTGACTTGATTGTTTATATTGTTGAGTTGTAGACGGCAAGTTTTTATTGCCATCATTAACAATATATTGGATATTGGAATTATTAATAATAGAATCATCGGAATTTAAAACTTTTGGAGTATTATTACAATTATTGACCTCAGAAAAGACAATATCTATGACGTAAATATTACTTAACATGTCGTTATCAACTTGATCCTGTAGAGGTGGGTCTTTGCCACCTACACCACGTTTACCCTGGGGCATCCCATGGTTAAGTACCTATTTATCAAAAAAATTTAGGAAATATTAACACTTACAGTACAAATGCTAAACTAATAACTTAAAATTAACATAAACCTAAATAAATTTGATTGAATACGAGATACACTCACACACCGTAGCTCAATATACGAAGGTTCAAACGAAACTGAATACTCTCTTTGGAAAGGTAAAGTAAGTAAAACGTATAGTAACTAATAGACTAGGATTGGCAACCTATGTAATACGCGCTAATAACAATAGCCTTAAAAAATGCATTTTGGGAAAAACCAGTTGGGAGAAGATCTTTAGGACGGCCTAGAGAATGGTTGAAAGATCCAGTCAAAGATAATCTGAAAAAAATGGGACTGAGACAATGGAAAATAGTGGCAAATGACCATCAAGAAAGGAAGTCAAGAGTAAACGCAGCAAAGATTCATGAAGAGTTGTAACGCCATTCATGATTATGATGATGATTCGTTGCTTCAAAGCGTGGAACAGTGTTTTGTAAGATTCTAATTTCACGATTTTTGCAGCTGTTTTGTTAGAATCAGATCGATGGGCCTACTTAAAATCTAAAAAGTTATAATACTTGTGTATTAATAACACTTTCAGTACGGTGTATAATCGTAGGGTGTTGTCCTGAGCGGCAATACTTTTTTTAAATTAAATTTTAAAAGTTTTAGTTTACTAAGTTGTATGGTCTCATTGAATCAGATACCGCATATTAGACGATTTATAGGTGTGATTAAAATTAGGTTCAATAAAATTATTTATATACTTACCCTGTCAAATTGTCTATTATTAAACCCACTAGAGAAAAATGCTGCCAATGCCCCGATCTCTTGGGCTGCTGGTATAACATCGGTTAATACAATATATAATTTGGCCAGTTCTGTATAAATCCAAGAATGTGATAGTAGACTATGAATATTTAAAATATCCACAAGTAGTAACTGCAACAAAAAAACTAAATATTAGAGGGTGATTTTTGTAAAAAATATTAAGTATAGAGCTCAACATTCCTTAAATCCTTAACAGGCCCTTAATATTTTTTATTCTTTTATTATTTTATTTCATAGCATAGTCATAGCATATAGCAACCTATAAATGAATTAATTTTTTTTTGATCTAATTATTAATCTATAATAATGTTTTATATAGAATTTTTTTATTATTGCGGTAAACACAAGCTAATGTCAATTTAAACTTACAGAATATATAAATTTCAGTGGTAAATATAGATACCACTTCAATTTCTTTGAAAAGTTATCAAACAAAAAGTTTAAAAATTCCACCCATGAGATAGGTGAACAAGCATGTGTAGAAATAGCTCCATTATAACTAAGAAATATAATTAAAAATATTAGTAAGTTCTACGTCAAATGTATCCAATTAGGTCGTTGATTGGGATTTAAACTAATATATTTCTATTTATCATCAGTTGTTATATTTTAAGTAATTATACCTTCGTTATTGATAAATATATTTCATTTTTTTTATAGCTATTTGCAGTCCCTTTAAATCCAGTGGCGTATAAGCGTTTTAATTAAAAAATCTCTAAAAAAATCCCTGGTAATTTGAATAAACATTTTAAATTATACCTTGAAGTAAAGTTATTATTACATCATATTTAGAAACTAAATATCGGTTAACAACTTTTTTAACAACTTTTAGAGTTGTTTCCAGCTTAAATGGACCACACTTTATATTAAAACTTACTTCTAAAATATCAAGATATTGGCTCACAATCCTCAAATTCATCGAACTCATGTGATTCATATAGGCAACCGGAGCTAGGGCTGACATTAAAGCGATCTTCTCATTATATTCTGGTCTTAAAGCTGCCATGGCAAAAAATTGAGATGTTCCTTGGGAATGTCCTATATAAAATATCTTCTCCTGTCCAGTGTTATTGACAATATAGTCAATTTTTGCTGGTAGATCGTAGTAACCACATGTGTCGAAACTAAAAGAAAAATAAAACAAAATTAAGAAGTAATTTACTAAATTAATGTTTTCAATATTACGTATATCTTTTGTCCTTCTAGTTAGTAGGGTCTTTTGGAAAGTAGCAAGAGATAATCAAGTTACCATATCAGAATTCAGCCCTGTGATGTATCACTCAATTTAAATATAACGTAAAGGTATATAACTATATAGCTATAACGTAGTGCCTTTAGAAAACCATACATATATAAGTTAATATTTACGTCTAAAGTAAAAAAAGATTGTTTTGTAATTGTATTCAGAAATGTTTATTTATTAACGTGATTTAAGATTTGAAATCAGTGTTTAAATTTTTGTATTTGTGACAATCAGTATATTTAATATAAAACACGAAAGCAGAAAAAATTCAGGTTCCAACCCGATAAGGAAGGATTTTCCTATACTCGGAAAGCTATTTAATAATAAACAAAGAAGAATTAGGAGAATCTTGGGTGGGTCCACCTCTAAAGGAGACAAGAAAAAGATGATTTTCTTGTTCCAGACAAGAAAATCAACTCAGGGAACAAAAACACATTAGAACATAACGAACTTCAAGAAATAGAAGAAATCAAGACCTAACATCGCATAGAAGAGATAAAAATGAACTTTTTCACCAATAAAGCAAAGCATATGCAATTCTAAGAAAAATATCAAAGACGCCAGAGAACGGGCGGAAACCAGCTCACAGACAATTACAGTAACCGTTACCAGGCACTTACAAACATACCAACCGAGAATAGAAGACCAATCAATGAAAATAAGAAGAAAAAGTACATATTGGACAATGTGCTAATTACCGGAGAATTATCGGAGACTATAAGGGCACAATAACTGCTAAATTGCCCCTGCCGGTAGGAACGGAACCAAAATATTCATTAAAACGATGGAGTATTACAACTAACTTAAGGATGATTTAATTAACCAAAAAGCTAATTTTCATAGTTATTCTAGGAAAGAAAAAATCAAAATGAAAGTAGTAATGCGAGAAGCTCCAGGAATGGATGTTTAAGAAATGGAGAGTGAACTTAAACACTTCGGAATTACAGCAAAAATTGCAACTATGAAACCAAAAGATGTACTATACTCATACCTTCTCCAATTTCCGAAAACTCGGATATTAAGGAAGTTAATACTCAATGTTACATTATCATAAAAACCTATCACAACCTAATACAACATTATCATAAAAACCTATCACTTTCGAAATATGGGCTGCCATCTATTATTTGGTATCTTTAATACCCGTGACAACAGTCTTTAACAACAGCGAGCTGCTTTATCCGGGCATTTCACTGATGTTATAGGTACGGTAGTGTCACTTGTGTTTTGCAACTTCTCGAGCAAGGTCACTGATAAAAATTAATCCATTTATATCTGCCGAATCTGTGAACATCTTTATATTATTTTTGATAGGTAAGTATCTTAGGCACAATAGTTTATGATAAACATAATATATTTTTTAAATATTTACTTTTTGACAGTTTTTATTGTTGTACCGCTCTTGCCCCACGTATTTTTAAAGTCGGGGCTAGTGCGGATAAAATTGTGGGGTAAGAGCGGCACATATTACGCACTTGCCCCAATTCTCACACAGTTTTTCTTTATGCTTTTAGTTCCACCATGGTGAGAAATTACATTCGCAGAAGTAGCAGGGGCAAATGATATACGAAAGAGAGTTTAAAAATTGCACTGTCGGCAATTAAATCTGGACAAATGACTTTATACCGAGCTACTAAAGTGTACACAATTCCAAGAAGTACTCTCCATGATCACCTTAAAGGTAGGAGAGGACAAAAAAGTTCCAGCTATGGAAGAACTCAGGACATTCCTCAACAGGAAGAAGAAAAACTAGCAAATGGCCTTCGTACTATGGAAAAATGGGGTTTTGGCCTTTCTAGAAAAGAAGTGTTGCAGGTTGTAGCTGACTTCGTCAAAGAGAATAACATTAAGACACAGTTTAAAGACGGTAAACCAGGAGAAGATTGGTTTCTTAATTTCAAGCGTAGACATAACGTCTCTATTAAAAATTCCCAGAGTGTTGAATTTGCTAGAAAAAAAAACCTTGACCCATTCTTGATCTACAACTATTTTGATTTACTTGAAAACGTTATAGAATAACTTGGTTTACAAGAACGCCCGTTGCAAATTTGGAACTTGGATGAAAGCAGTTTTTGCACAGATCAGTCAAAAACAAAAATTGTCGGACAAAGGGGAGCTCCATCCACAAGAACTATTAGTGTGCCTGGCAAACAAAATACAACTGTTCTTATGTGCTGCAGCGCAAGTGGCAAAAAAGCACCTCCGCTTATTGTCTTCAAAGGTTTGGGACCAGTGGACTGCTCCGCGTGGCACGGAGTTTTTAGATACTACCTACGCTGCCACTCCTAAAGGGTGGATGGAGACAACTGTATTTAGAAACTATTTTGAAAACAGTTTTTTAAAGTTTATTGGTACCCCAAATTTGGTAGGTAATGTATTTTTGTTATCTAAATAGTTTTAATTGGTCGGTTAAAAATCACAATTATACGACAGAAATTTAAAATAATCTTAATTTGAAAGAGGCAATTTTTGTAGTTAAATGAATATTAACTATGAATTTTTTCGTTCGCACTTGCCCCATCTTACCTTACTTAGAAAGCTTAAATAACAAAGGAGGCCCACCTCATTTAGAGGAGGACCTACCGAAGACAAGAAAATCATCTCAGAGGACAAAAATTATTAGAAGATTACGTTCTTAGTTCAAATAGAGAGTGAACTTAAACACTCCGGAATTACAGCAAAAATTATAGTCATAAAACCAAAGAATGTAAATAAAACATAATTCTCATACCTGCTGCAATTTCTGAAAACTAGAGATATTAAGAAAGATAAAAAGATAACAGGACTACAATAAATAATTGCTGAAAATTTGGAGATAGCGCCAGGAATTGCTATACAGTACCTCGATGTATGAAACGTGCTCAAAATCATTACACTAGAAACTGTCCCCTTCCAAAGCGAGTCCAAAATAAGGCCAAATGCTGCAACTACAGGGTAAATACACAACATCAAACTACGTTATGTGCAGGAAGCATATTCAATTTACGGACAATCAAGTTTAAAAAAATACCAGAAACAGACAACCTTCTAGATAAAACTTTCCTTTACATCCATCAGCTTTTAGCAAGTGGTATATCATAAGCGCAAATGACAAGAAAAAATCCAGAGTCAAAACAAACTCAGGAAACATGCTAGAAACATGGGAAGAAATATACAAGATTACCAATGTCAATAAGATGTTACAATTACTACAATTACTACAAGACATAAAGAAAGAACTTTTATTGGCAAAAAACAGTTTCGCCGATGCAGAAAAAGTATTTATAAAATACAAAACTCTCTACAATGTTGTTTAAAAGGTTTAAAATCCTACAATCAAACATAGCCTCATTGAGGATAAGAATCAACGAAATGACCATCAGACATAATCCGGACCTAATATGCCTATCTGAAACTTAACAATGACGAAAATTTAACTTTCTAGCATTACAAACTACGACGGAATTAGAATTAGAAAAGCAAATAACAAAGAAGTAGCAATTTATATAAAAAATTATCTCGAATGGAACCAGATAGTATTAAACACGCAAAGTTTTGAAAATGTAGGTATTAAAATATGTAATATTAATATTATTTTTTATAGGAAATGTACGGATAATCTAGCTCAAAAAAAAATGGAAAGACATGATGAACTCAGCCGAAATAGTGGTCCTTGCTGGAGATTTCAACGCTAATCACACATTTTTATCGAAGTTTATCACACAGTTTGGCCTGTGTAGTAATCACTTCTGCAGTTAAAGATTTGCTTAGATATTGTGACGATAGAAATAGGATGATATTCTCATCAGATGAATAAACCTGAATCAGCCCAACTCCAAGATTTAACGAATATACACTCGACATTTTCGTCACAAAAAAAGTCATAATTGAGGTCGTGAGAGTCCACTTCTAATGCAGTTCTGATCATAAACTGGTAACCGAAATAATGACTTAACTGTAATCGACCTACCAGCAATAGAATCAGTTAAAAGATGGCATTGAAAAGATGCAATTTGGCAGAATTACAGAATATAGCGTAACGAAATAAACATTAAAAGGGAATTTAAATCCAAAGAAATAGTGGAAAGAAAAATAGAATAAATCACAAGAAATATACAACAGGCAATGGAAAACAACATTTCAAAGGAATACACTAACAATAGAGATCTAAACATTCCTAACGAGCTGGAAGAGATCATAAAGGAAAGAAACAGGACCAGAAGAATTTACCAAAGAACAAGAAGAATAGAATTTAAACTTAAGAAAGAAGAAATAAGAACAAAACTTAGAAGTCCCATCGAGAACAAATGGCATAGCAACATCAGAAAAGCAGAACAAAACCACGAAAATATACGGAAAATGCTAAAAAAAGAGTAAAACAAAAAATGTCGAAAATAATATTCAAGGATGAAATTCACTTTAATTTCACCCAAGAAAAAGGTAAAAATGGTCAACAACGAATACGAGAAAATAACAGAAAGAAACAAATTTTTAGTAGAAAAAGAAGATAATCTTAATCTAACTTTAGTTGCTGAAATAGTACGTAAACTAAAAGGAAATAGAGTTTTGGGAGTACAGGGATTTTTTTTTACATTTACAAGTTTTGCGCAAAGAAAGCGCGTTTTCCAAATAACCACAGATATACAAAAATAATATCTTTACAAAAGCCAAGGAAGGACGGAAGAAGACCTAAAAACTATAGACCCACATCCCTACTAGAGTGCTTTGAAAAATTCTAGTAACAATCATCTATAAGAGGCTGATGGGGCAAGCAAACAGAAGAAGAGTGATCCAAGATGACCAATTTGGATTCAGATCAAGAAGAAACTGTGAACTACAACTAGCAAAAGTCGTCAGTAATGCCAAAATACGCTTCAACAGAAAACCTAAAACAGCAATGGTCATACTAGACATAGAAAAAGCCTTTAACACGGTCTGGAAAAAAGCCCTTATCTACAAAATAGACAGAGCGAGATTACCTCACTCTAATCTAATTAGCCTTCTTCGGTCCATTTTTGGACATAGGCCTCCCCAATTCTTTTCCATTATTCTCTGTCTGTCGCTACAGTCATCCATCTAGAGCCCACGTGCTTCTTGAATTACTAGATTACTAGATTACCTCACTATTAAGTTAATATTTGTGACCCATATTTAAGTAATACAACTTTTCAAGTTTCAGCTGACCAAAAGATGTCCAGGATGCAAAAATTCTACGAGGGATACCACAAGGCAGTATACTATCGCCTATTTTATATACTATTCTTGTTTCAAACTTACAGCACAGCCTTATACGCAGATGACACCGCAATTTATACGGCAGAAGAATAATACGAACGCTAGAAAATCAATTAGAAAAAATATCGGAATTTACGGACAATTGGAAAATGATCCAGTCTGAAATTCAGTTAATTTCAGGCCCACGTTAGGGCTGTAATATTGCCAGTACCAGTATGGAGTTTAACATCCAAAACTAACTGGAGGAAACTGTAGACCACAGAAACTTTATGCTACCGTCTCATATATGGATCAACATGGCAGAAACAAAATACAGAAGATGTATAAAGAAAAACACAAACTAATCGACCATCTGATCAGGGTCTAACCAGGTGGTAGCTAAAGACAACCAAACAGGAAAGTAGGTACGATGCGTTATAATAAAGTACCTATAGAAGAAGATGTCCAGAGTTAATAACAGAAAAATGAGGACCCAAGGAAAATGCAGTTTCAAACAGAAAGCGATTTATGAACTTAATGCCAAAAAGGCAAAAATATCTTAAGCTTACATATTTTAAGCGATATGGTATATTTTATTAGACAATAGACGTTTTTATTTTTTATTTGTAGTTTTATTTTTATTTTTATTTTGTTAGATAATCGAGTCCAGCCAGTGGTCTGATCTGGGGGGAAGTCTGCTGGGCCTTTGGGTGTTAACTGAAGGCCAACCGTAAAGAGTTCTATCAAAGTGTTGATCTAGGAACAACTCCACTGGACCTAGGATGTTGACCAAAGGCCCACCGCATCTGCTAGAGTGTTGATCTAGTAGCAGCTCCTTACTGGTCCTCCACCTAACCGAACCTACTGCTGTTGCTCTGAGACAGACTTGTTCCATGCCCAAGTTTTGATTAGTCACTTTCCTCTCCTTCTATCGAATGTTAATCGATTCGTCCACCTCTAACTCATAATTCCTTCTCTTTAGCGGGTGTGTATTAACACACTCTATTTTTGTGTCCATTTTTATGACATTCATTATATTTTATTTTCCTCAGATATTAACCGTAATTTTAGCCGTCGCTATAATTGACGTTTAAATTTTGTACATATTATTTAGAATATAATTTTATATTTTTATTTATTTATTTCAAATACAGATTTATTTAAATTAAATATGAGTTTTACTGAGTCTGCTGTCTAAAAGACAGCACATAGTTTCTATAGCTCATTATGATTGAGTAAAGTACATTTTTTAATTATAATTATTATTCATATAAATAATTCTAAGCTAAGGCTATCAAAATACTACAATAAAAGATATCAAATGTAATTCTCAATAAAATTCACTGTGATTTAATCCCATATAAAATAATATTTAAATAATGGCGGTTTCCATTACTTTTAGATTTCTTAAAGTAAAGTTTAGTCCAGATATTTCATGGCTGCCTATTCTGATATTGAAATAACCCAACAAAATAATTTGGTGGGAATATTTGGCTTGGTCATTTCTATTTTGTGTTTCATCATAAAACACATTTTTTGTATTTGGTATGTCTGAGGTATAGGCACTGAATAAATGGAGATCAGTTTTATTTAGATTGATAGTTACTTTGATGACTTTATCGTCACATATTATACTACATCGGAGATAGCAGGAAATCGAGAAGTATTAAGAAACATAAAAAATAAAGATTGAGGTTCTAAAATAAAAACGAAAATTTCTTTAACATATTAATTATGACAAGTAAAAATATGATTAATTGTAACATTCAATGTTAGCAAAAAACATAAAAGATCAGTTGGAAGGAGAACATCTTACTAGCTAAAAATCTGCTACTAAAGTACCGCATAAATGAGCAGTGTCAAAAATATTTTAATTAAAAAACATCTTACTAGCTAAAACTCTGCTACTAAAATACCACATAAATCAGAAGTGTCAAACATATTTTAATTATTAAATATTGTAGCTAAAGAACTATAAGTCACATCTTCAACTAAATAGAATATTTTATAAATAAATATAAAGGTCAACGAATTAGTTTAATCATGTATTTAGGAAATCGTCAGAAAAGGAAAAATTTACCTGTAATCATAATATTCTACGTCAGTATCCGGATTTAAGGTCTCATGCATCCTAGACCAAGTAGTTCCTCTGTTGTTTCCTAACCAAACGTCATATCCTTCATCTGCCAACATCAACGCAATTGATTTATTTGGACCATAATTTACAAAATCCATGGCACTACTTAGTAGACCATGCATAAGGAGAACAGCTGGTTTATCTGTTGTGTTAGCATGCCTTCCATTTTGGCCTCCCAATAACCGTTGCATTCGAAGGACATAACCATCTTCGGTTTTAACCCAATGAGTTTCTACTGGATACTGATATTTGGCCAAAAATTGATACTAAAACATTTAATCATTATAGCTAATTATAAATAATAATTAATATTTGATTAATCAATCGTTTTATATACCATATTATACGTGATAGAATAAGTGAAATGAGATGGCCATGGTCACTCGTTAAGCCCCCTTCTCTTTAATATAATAATAGACCAAATAATACAAGCAGTACGTAAAGGTCATGGTTACAGAATGGGGAACAAAGAATTCCAAATATTATGTTATGCAGACGACACCGCATTAATCGCCGAAACAGAAGACGACCTCCAAAGATTAACAAATATTTTCAATACAACAGCTAAGAAATACAATATGATAATATCAGCAAAAAACACCAAATGTATGACAACATCTAAATACCCGCTATGGTGTAAAATCGAAATTGATGGGAAAATATTAAAGCAGGATACAAGGTTTAGATATCTGGGATAGATATAGAATTAGAACTAGTTTCGAAGATGTTGAAGAAGAATTACAACAACAAAGCTTAAAAGCAATTAAAGCGGCGGTACATCTTAATGACACAATCTGGAAGAACAAACACCTAAGACAAGACACAAAAACAAGAATCTATAAAGCAGCAATTAGACCTATATTAACATACACGGCTGAGACAAAACCTGACATATCTAAATCGGGAAGACTACTAGAAACAACAGGGATGAAAATACTCCGACGAATATCACGGAAAAGTCTGTTGGATAGGGAGAGAAGCGAAAACATAAGAAGGGCATTCAATATAAAAGACATAAATGGATGGGTGAGAAAAAAAAAAACAGTAGTGAAACTAACACGTCAGTAGAATAGCAGAGAATAGAATAGTACGAATAGCATGGGATAAGTCATCAAATGGACGAAAAAGTATTGGCAGACCAAAAAAAAAATAGTGCGACAATATAAACAATTTCAAAGGCTAATATTAAAGAAGAAACATGCTTTAAAGCATACATACAAGAAGGAAGAAGAGAAAAAAGGGATGGACAGCGTCTGGCAAAGTAACTATAGTCGATTACATTATTTACTATTTAGGAAAAGACAGTTCAAAACACAAAAATGGTATAGCAGTAATGGTGACAAAGTAAAGAGATAAAGCTGTAAAAATCATCGTCCTATTTTTATAGAGGATAATAATGTTTCAATTTCAAATAAAACAGTAAATGCGAATCTATTACAACAATATGTACCCGCACAAGACTATAAAGAGAAAGAAATTAAAAAACTTTTTCATGATTTCGAAAAATTTGGCATTTACAAAGAAACACGAGCTCAATATTTTCATGGGAGATTTTATAGCGAAGATTGGTGAAGAACAACAGGAAGATATCATAGGAAAATAGTGATCTGGGAATACGAAATGAAAGAAAAGATATGTTGGTATTTTTATCATTATTCTGACTTTACAACTCTGGGTGGATCCTAGCCTCCTAGCACGTGTTCCCATATTTCTCGTGTCTTCATCGATTTTATCAATGAACCTTGTTTTGGGTCTTCTTTTTCTTCTCTAACCAATGGGTCTATCAAGGAGCGTTTTTCTAGCTGGGTCATATTGTTCCATCCGCATTACATGCCTTATCCACCTCAGACGTCCCCATTTTACATATGTTTTACGACATCAGGTTCCTGGTATATTCTATTAAGTTCGAAGTTGTATTGTCTTCTTCTCACTCCATTGTTATTCACTGCTCCATAGATTCGTCTTAGGACTTTTCTTTCGAATCATCCTAACATGTTTTCATTATTTTTTGTTATAGTCCAGGTCTAACCATATGTTAAAACTAGACATATTACTGCTTTGTAGAGTTCTATTTTTGTATTTCTAGATATAATTGTGGATTTAAGGAGAACATTAAACCCAAAATAGCATGTATAGTTGAAACATCTCCTGCTAGGCCGAAGTACCAATCCAACTCATGCGACAAAAAGTGGACAAATAAGTAATAAAAAAAGCAAATAAAGAGTTAAAAGAGCTCATACAGAATATAGGTAACAACAATGAAAAATATATGGTCAAAATTTACCAAACCTTTTTACATTTATATCTTATTGTATATGCAATTTGGATTTAAAATAGTTTAAAATTATAAATGTAGACTTGTTATGCAAGACGTGTCCACGTGTCTACGTAAGATCATTTTTTTTTAAATTGTACAAAACAGGAACGGTTCATTTAGGAATTAAATAAATATATAATAGTATATGCATATTAAAGTTACCGATTTATGGAAACATGTAAATTATTCTTTGAAATAAATCGCACCGTTGTGAACTTGAACACTAATGGAAAAATTCAAATACGAAAAAAAAATCAACATTAAATCAACTAAAAGATTGAAGGACTATAATAATTTAATGATTTTTGTTAATAAAACCTAACAAAAAGAAAAATGTAGCTATAATATGTAAACTATACTCTACTTACAATATCAAGTCCTAGATCAGAATATGGTTCGAAGACGGCATCGCTAACATTAAAAGATTTTCTATAGTTTCTTATAAAATTTCCAATAGCATCTAAGGTAGTGTTTTTACAAAAAACATTAGATATAGCTAAAAATAAAATTATTACTTTTAGTTTAAACATTTCCACTAAATTATCCGGAAACAATCAATATTTGATATATTATTGGTATTTGACAAATATTATGATGATATTTTAAAGTGGTTTATGTTATCTAAAAAAAATACTTTTATTGTATGAAAATCAAAGATCTCAAAAAAAATTACGTAAACAATTTAAAATTCTAAAACCAAGATAAACGCAATAAAAGATAAAATCGAAAGAAAGTACTCATAAGAGTTTTTTACTCATCATTAATAAATAAATAATATTCTTCTCATATATTGACGATATATATATATATATATATATATATATATATATATATATATATATATATATATATATATATATATATATATATCTATATATAAGGTAATGGCATGTCTTACAAAAGAGACAACCAAAAAAAGCTATATCTATTGAAGGTACCCATATATATATATATATATATATATATATATATATATATATATATATATATATATATACGTATTACTGACTATTGGTCGTCTTTATTACAAGCAGCCAACTTACCTGGAAACCATCAAAGTCTCCTAACTCTAATGCCACAAATTGGTCGCATTGCTCCTGTTGTGATCCTTTCTCAAGTTAACATGCTATTTTTCTAACTTAGCTGCACTATACTGCAGACGATCAATAGTCAGAAACACGTATATACGGTTGCCTTCCACCGATATACCTTTTTTGGTTTTCTGTGTTCGAGACATGCCATTACAATTTACTTTTATTATTCACTCGCATTATCCTTTTCCATTTATTTAAAACGTTTCAACGTTTGGCATTCCTTTCTTCAGTTAGCTGTAGCTTCCTCCGTGGTTATTGTTAGTTGTTGCCGTGGAAACCATCAGGGTCTTCTTACTTTTTTACGACAAATTAGTCGCTGCATTGCTCCTGTAGTGATCCTTTCCCAACTTGACATGCTTTTTCTCTAATTTGGCTGTTAGCCCAGGGAAATAAGCATTTTTTCATGACACTCGTCCGGCCAGGCAGACGACAGTTGTTTTGAGTAGTATGGACCTCTGTAACAAAAACCTATATGTTTCCTGCAGTCGATTTTTTGGACTTAATTAGTTATTAACAAATTAAGTTCAAAAAACGGAAAATTTTTGCTTTTTTCGGCTATCAGCAAAAAGTGAAGCAATTTAAACAAATTTTAGAAGAGAGGAAACTGATAAGTTATATAACAACCTTCAAAATGGCGTCTTTAAAATGTTTCTATCCTTATTTGTTGCTTAGAAAGTTGCAAAATAAGTCAAAAATTTCGGTTTTTTATAAATGTTAATAACTTTTTTGAAAATAAACGTATAATATTTATATTTCACGGAATGATGTGTCTTGTAGTGCTTAAAATAGGGTTAAAATTTCAAAGTGATCGGTCCAATAGTTTAAAAGTTATTTTAATTGTTTATCCCAAATTAACATTTTTTGCAACAATATAAGTCAGAAATTTATACAGTTTTAGAAATTGTAAGGGTTGTTTCTGGTAGAAGAAGACTTGTTTTGTTATTTACATTAAAAAAAAAATAAGAAAATTAATTTTAAATATTGCAAAATAATTTTGCAAAAACATGTCGATTTTTTGCTTATAAACAATTAGAATAACTTTTTAACCATTGACTGTAAAAATATTATTTTTACATATTTAAAAAGCTTGAATTTTTTCACAAATTTAAATAAAAAAAATTTGTCCTAAAATAACTTGGTACAAAGTTAGCCTCTTTTTTTATTTAATTCATAGCACCTTTGTTTATAACAATTAAGAAATCTAATTAGCGCTATTTAAAAGAATATACATTATAGTTTTAAACTACTAAATTTTAAAATTATTGCTCTTTAATGAAATCCTCCACAAAGTTCCAAAATGTATGTAAAATCCGTCGGCTTTGAAACTCTCGGAAGCTGAAGGGAGGGGGAAGGCGCTGTTAACTGTATCTCTGTTCCTTTTTTATGTATTTCAACGTTTTTTTTTTAACTTGTATGTACTTTTTGCGTACATTACGAATATGCATTATTTCAATAAATAAATTGTCAAATAAACCACATAATTTGTTTAAAAACAATTTTTTTTAATTTTTTTAGTAGTATTTAAGTTAAGTTTGAATGTAAAACAGAAGTACTTGTCATTTCCTATATTTTGGGGAATAAGCCACAATTTAAGTTTATAATAAGTTTATTTTTGATGTTTCGATTTCTACTTCGGAAATCTTTCTCAGAATGCAGAACATTAATAGATTAATCAAATTTTGTTTTTGGTTACTTGGTAGAAAATTTGGTTGTAAAATTTTTCTGATAACTCTTCTGGGTGATTGATTAGGGTGAGGAAGCTCAGTATATCTGTTTTAGTAAAAATTACAAAAAAAAGTTATTGACAAAACTTGTAGATAGCTTTAAACTCGACATTTTAAAATTAGTTACAATCTTACAGGGTGTTCTATAAGATGGTGGCAGACCAAACTTATGTTTTTTTAAATGAAACACCCTGTATTTTATTTTGAATTTGAAATCTGCTTCACTTCCACATCACAACAATGTAAAGTTTTATTATGTTATACCGGGTATTTAAAAAGTTACAACCAATATTACCTGAAAATCGTATCAAGTTTAACTCCCTGTATAATTAAAAAGGAGTATAGGTCCATTGATCTATTGCAACCATAGTTTTTTAATAATTGTTAAAAATTCGTTTCGAACATATTCGTTTTCATAATATTCGTTAGAACACACTGTATTTTATATCACTATCGAAAAGTACTAATATCGTACTTCAAATTTTATAGAGTACTCCCTACACATAAAGTTATTAGTTTTCTAGATATTTTTATTTTTCCATCAAAGTATAAATTTTGAAGATATTTTAACGTTTACCAATAATTATTGTGAGTTGACCATGATTGATTTGTCAGAAACCAACAGTTTGACATTATTGTTTACTAATTCAGTATTGGGGTACATCGTAAATTAGCAACAATCATTATTTAGCAATTCAATAATTTATTTAATTTAAATTAGCAATAATGAATTTTACTGAGGAAATGATAGATAAATATGATCCGGATATTGGGGGAATGCAATAAAAATTCATTAATATCAGCTAGAATTTATCATAAACGGTTTCCAGATAGGCGGCAACCTAGACAAGATACATTTGAAAAATTGACAGATCGATTTAACCGCACTGGTTCAGTGAATTATGAAAAACATAAACGAAAAAAAAAAACTAGTGTGACAGAGGAAAACGAAATGAGTGTGTTAATGGCAGTTACAGAAAACCCACTCACAAGTATAAGGAGTATTTCCAATAAGAAAGAACTTAGTTACTACTCTGTTCAAAACATTCTATCTAAAAACAAGATGCACCCATATCATATTCAAAAGTACCAAGAATGAAATGATGATAATTTTCAGAAACGAATAGTATTTTGTGAATGGGCCTAAAAAAAAATTAATGAACAGAGATTTTTTTTGATTATATCATATTTGGTGATGAAGCTGCATTCCACTGAAACGGTTCTGTTAATATGCATAAATAACTTTCACTACTATTCAACAAGTAATCCATACCAAAAAGTAACACATAGTCAAACAAGATAATCTTTAAATGTGTGGGGAAGTATCGTGGGTAACCATGTAGTAAAACCATATTTGTTTAAATATAACGTAAATGGTAAGATTTATTTAGATTTTCTCGTACATCAGTTACCGATATTATTAGAAGAGGTTCCACTTAATATACGTGAACAAATGTGGTTTCTACATGGAGGCGCTTCTGCATACCACAACGAATTAGTACGTGGTGAACTTAATAATCAGTTTGGTGAAAGATGGATCTTAAGGGTTGGCCCAAGGTCACCAGAATTCAATAAAGTGGACTCATTTTTTTGGGGTTACATTAAGAAGGAAGTATATAAAGTACCTTCAACAACAAGGGATATAAAGAATAGAATCCGAATTGCATTTCAAAATATTTCTTTACAAATGCTTAGTAATGTAAGTAACTTTTTTAATGACCGCTTTCAAGTATGCATAGATGTTTTGGGAGGTCATTTTGAACACCTTACTTAGTATGTATGATTAGTTAAAATTACAGTTGTTTTTTATTTTTTTATGTGTTGTTATTTTTTTATTTTCTGTCGATTATTTTTTATAAATTTTATTTGAAACAAATTGTTTTCTTTTCTGTGTCGTTATCTCGTTACTGAATTAAAAAACAATAATGTCAAACGGTCAGTTTCTGACAAATCAATCATGGCCAACTCCCAATAATTATTGGTAAAAGTTCAAATATCTACCAAATTCACACTTATCTAGAAAATTGATAACTTTAGGTATAGGGAGTATTCCATAAAATGTAAAGTACGATATTAGTACTTTTCGATAGTGACTTAAAATACAGGGTGTTCTATTTAAAATTATCAAGAAAGTAATGTACTTGCATTTTGACTTACCCTGTATTTGAATTAACGAATATTATGAAAACGAATGTATTTTACAATTTTTAACAATTATTGAAAAACTATCGTTGCAATAGATCAATGGACCTATACTCCTTTTTAATTATACAGGGAGTTGAACTTGATACGATTTTCAGGTAATATTGATTATAACTTTTTAAATATCCGGTATAACATAATAAAACTTTACATTATTGTGATGTGGAAGGGAAGCAGATTTCAAATTTAAAATAAAATACAGGGTGTTTGTTACTAATTGTTATTAATTGTTACTAATTTTAAAATGTGGAGTTTAAAGCTGTCTACAATTTTTGTCAATAATTTTTTTTGTAATTTTTACTAAAACAAATCTACTGAGTTTCCTCATACTAATCAATCACCCAAAGAGATCAGAAAAATTTTCTACCAAGTAACCAAAAATAAAATTTGATTAGTTTATTATTATAATGTTCTGCATTCTGAGAAAGATTTCCGAAGTAGAAATCGAAACATCAAAAATAAACTTATTATAAACTTAAATTGTGGCTTATTCCCCAAAATATAGGAAATGACAAGTACTTCTGTTTTACAT